GGTCAGTGAATCCTTCTTTCACGAATCCTTAAGTAACACGTGACACATGAATGGCAAAATGGGAAACAAAGTGACGTGAAAAATATTACCACCATTGAAACACAAGGATATGAAATAAAGAGCGAAGTTCAAAATTTATTCAAATGCCTTGATGCGGCAATGAGCAGTATATTGTGCTCAAAATGTTATCAGTAAATAATATTGTGTCACTTTCGGCTTTGATCAGGTACTTCAGACTACTAAGCCTTATTCAACGAAGTGTGGTATGACAGACAAATGATCTGTGATTTTATGCGTTAGCTTGTCATACTTCTTAATACTACTGTTTGTGTAATTCATTTTACGCGGAATTTCCCCATTTATGTAACAAACCTTATTTAAACAATATTTGTAATTTAAAATATTATTTATCCGTTGTGATAACCTTAAACGACCTTCTTGAATCCTTATTTTAAATTATTTATTAAATTTAATTAGTTAATTAATTAATTAAATTTATTATAGTGTCAGTATGAAAACTACTTTTGTGCACATCAATCAAGTTTATTCAAATGCCGATATTTTACTATTAGACTTTGCATCTCCTCTATAACAAACGAATTATTTGTTCAAGTTGATATTTACAATAATAATTCACTATTCTATTAACTAACATTTACTGATAATTTTTTGTACACTTTTAGAGTACAAAGTTTGAAATCATTCAGAGTGTGAAGCCACATGAGATTCATAAGTGGAGAGTAAAAAAGACTGAACGTTTTTATTTTCATCACCTGAAAACAGTAACATTATTTCACTACTTATTGTTATTAGAGTTGATCAGAGTCCCTCTTATTCATTATTAACAATTACATTCAACATAAAATGTATTTTTCATAAGTGTTCTGAGAATTATTTTCCTTGAAACTACTGAGATGATGGTTGAAACGTTTTGACTATAGGCTGACTTTTGAGTATTGTAAAAATAAGTAGTCAGCAGGAATCGACGAGTGTTGTGGCAACAAACGGTATCCTACGATATCTTATGTTGAATATTATTCTGAAACTTTTACTACAGAATTAAGAATAAATTTACGTTCTGCTCTTAGCGTTCAAATACCTGAATTATATTATGAACAATATTTTGTACATAGTCGACAAACTGAAAGGTGTCCCTAAGAAAAAGTGGCATATCTTTTTTTCGTACAGACTGTAAAATATCAGCTAACTGTTTCGCTACTGAATGGTACGGGGAACCTGACATACATAACGGGAGCAGTTACATTGGGAGAACAGAAAGAAGGGCACACCTCCGATTTTCTGAACATGAGCCAAAAAGCCTACGTCTCAAGGGAACAAACTCTTGTAGCAGCGCTATTACTAGACATTTTCTCGACACGGGTCATGAGTTAGAATTCGAGAAATCCTTTAAAATTATCAATAGACAAAGGAGTTCCATTCTCCTCAAGTTTGCCGAAGCAATCTTTATCAAACGCTTGGAACCAGATTTATGTGTTCAAAAAGAAGCAGTTATTAATCTTTCTTTGCCCTGGTAACTGAATTTCTTTATTCTCTTATCTGATTACGTAATCTTTGTCTTTTACCTCACCCCCTTTTATATTCTGTAATTTTGCTTGTCTCTTGTTTCTATGATTTGAGTTGAACTCAGTACATTGTTACCTAATTTATTTGTCACTCTGTATCTAACTCATATTTCGTCTTTATTACGTAACTCTTTTACCATTGTATGCATACATCTATTTTGTTTAAACTTGAACTGCCTGTGTAAAAACTATATAAGCGCAATTTTCTGAGCACTGTTCACTTACTGTGGAACCTTTTGTCAACTGACAACATGTAAAAATTTGCAAGTATGTTAAAACTTTTCTGTACGCAAACCTCATAATTTATTTAGGCTGTAAGCAGCTGATGAGAAGTCTACGAAATAAATGATGGTACCATATTATTCTGCACAAACCACTGTTGTTCTTGCTTTATTCAAATTCATCAATGGGACTAAATGTATGAGGACTTTGCCAGCTCTTTTATCTAGACGGGTTATAAGAAGTTCTTTATTGTGTCTCAGTTGATTTAATTATTCTCTATGCTGCTTTAATTGGTGGTTGTAGACTTTTGGTTTTGTATTCAGATATTGATAACAACAATGGGTTATTGTTAATTTGAATCGCTTTAGTTTCTGTTCAGACGTTAGCGTTACATCATTAGTTTAGGTTACTAATTGTTCAGATTGTCAAAGCGTATGATGTGTGTAGGCATTTAGGTTGACCTCGCAAAATTTTGGACCCATGGATAGAGCTTCTAATTGCGAATGGGATGAAACACCTGAAAAGTAGTTAAATACGAACTTTGAATGTTCATCAGGTAACGTTTCACGTGTTTTGTGTGAGTTACGCAAAGCAATCCTTTTACTCCCATCCCATATTGAAATGGTTAGCTGAAATCCCTGGAACCGTCAGGGGAGAAATACCTTTTCATACCTTCGTGACACCTTTTAATATGTCGATTTTATACAGGATAAAAATGCTTAGAATAAACATATGTGATATTTAGATATAGAATCCCTGTTTTAAAATGTTCCATTGATGCATGTTCCATATGCAAATATATATATGCATATAAAGTGACGGTTTTCTACAGCTGGGTAGACACTGGAAATCGAAACCTGATCCGATCAATTGCTACCCCCCTTCTGAGGTCCAGATGATAGGAGAGAATAATCAAATCTTTTAATTAAAATCTGAATGAAGAATAGATTTTCATCACTAAATATTAGTAAAACAATTTCAGCAGTGTGGAAAAATTACCAAAAGCAAAATCTTATGGCTGTGTGTGAACTATTGAAATATAATTATAATTTATTTGATTTCCACCAGGTTTTGCAGAAAAAACATATAGCTAAAACCAACAAAACGTGTTCTTACGTCCGTAATCAAGAAATTGCTGTATACTAGCTTCGAATTCAAAGGCAGCTTACCATTCAGCATCATTAAAACAAGGATTAAACAGTGCTTAAAAAGGACATTGCCCGGTGCATTGTTGAGAATAGCGTTTTCTAGTCGACCAATACTCTTCAAAACCGTGAAGGACTAGATCCTCCAGTTGTCCATTTATATGTGCGTTTAATAATTCACTCGCTCGTGTGCAGCTAGGCATATCGTTCATTTGACTTAGGTTTTCTCCGAAAAGGTACAAGAACAGTATCATGCATAGTTAATAAGTGGTGGAAGTGAGGCATTACGAAGCGCGGTCACTGAACATCTGCTCGATTACGATTATCGCGACTCTGCAGCCTCAATCCTTTAAGATTCCTAAAAGGGGAAAAGTGCTTTGCCCAACTAACTACCTATCCGACTCATCTGTATCGCTGAAGTTTTGGCCATTGAAACAGAAAAGCCAGATCTTTGTATACAACAAATCTCTTAGAATCAATAATAATTAACATTTCAAGGTTTCGAATCTGTTTGCTAGAAATCACTCGAAATTTCACGTCTCCTCTGTTACGTCATTCAGACCCATCCTTCAAAGTTACTGGATTAAACCCAGCCGTTCTAAAATCTTATGATTTCTCTACTTATGCATAGTTGAAGGACTAGCTTTGCATAGTCAAAACGTTTTGTTAAACCCTCTTCTTTACCTTTGTCATACGTATTTTCCTTTTTCTTTTGTTATATTTTACGTCTTGAATTCATTCCACTCCACTACTAAAGTAATCATCATCGTACTTTTAATTTTTATAGACAATACTAGACCAACTTTTAAAATCCATATACCAATTCAATTATTCAATAATTTTTGAAACTTTTACTATTCATCCGGTTCACGTCTACCCACTCAATACGTCATTTTAATTATCTTTAATGTTTATCGACTGAGGAATTTATAGTGTCAATTAATGCCATCTTTCCGTTATGTAAATACTACTGTAGAGTTTGGAAATGAAGGCATTGAGAAGAGATATTTCTTCCCTGAACAGAAACTGTGTTTATTTTCCTTGTAAATTAGTGTGTATACATCGAGACTTTTTTAATTTTATTTCTTCAATTGATTGCAGTCCAATTTTTCAATTTCTTCATTGTTACTATCACTTCAATTTTGATGTTTGATAATAGCAGAACTATTTTCTGAGCCATTGTGCTAATTCACCAATGTAGCAACATTTAAAAATCTTGTAATTCATCTTATTTGAATATAAGCCCTTCAACACAGTTGCAATAACATTTATTCCTATCAACAGGATATTGACCAAGCAATGTTCGATACCACTTAATGCCATTTCTTCATAAAATAAATACTGCTTTTAATCTTTAACAAGTCAGTTGTGAGAATGACATGATGAATTCTACTCAGCAATTTAGTTACGTATGTGGAGGAAATCCTCACTCCATTGCGACCTTGATATGTGTGAACGGTTTTTATGTTTATATTTATATTACTATTATATTCATTACTATTATGATACTATCCACTTTATGTTTGAAGACTGGGCATAGACATAACACCATTACCACCCACTCTCAAAAGACGAATGTGGTGAAGCTCCATGGCTTCTGTACATCAAGTCCTCAATGTCTGAGCGAGTATCTGTTTTAAACTCTCCTCTTGCTAACTATGGTGGGTAATTTGTAGAGATGCTCATGGAAAATGAGTCTTGTGCCATGAATATAACTAGCTGGAGAGGAGCAATTTGCTCAAAGTGATAGTCTGTCCTGCAAATATCTGGTGATCATTTGTCTACTGTAGAAATTGATCCATAGCTCAGTCGAGAAAAAAGGATTTCCAAAAATTTGTTGAACTCATGAGAAGTCTGAATTCAATTGAAGTGTATAGACTCTTTCAATGAACATTCATTTCAGCAGTGATAAGTGCAAAACAATCCTATATGTGTAGATGCAAATTTATTCTCTTTAATGATTACATCTTCATTTGTGTATTGTTAATGTTTAGGGTGTTTTATTTTATTTAACAGAATAGCAATTATTATGCAAAAAAAAGACATTTCACTTCACAGAAAAGGAACATGATCAACATTATTTCACCGTTAAAATGATAAATATCAAATCATGATCAAAAAGCACCAGGTTTGACACCACTCTCAGGCATATCAAACAAACAAATAATTCCTGTTATTTGTTCCATATTTTAGGCAACATTAAAGTAGTATATACAATGACGAAAAGGCAGCACACTAGTAACCAGAGGATAAAAGCTTCAACAAATTGCGATGGATACGGTGAAAACCACCATACTACCAGGTCCAAGTTGTTCATAAAGCCAAATATTAGCTAGTGATTCAAAGAGAAAAAGCAAAGACAGAATACATTGGCTGAAATTCATACTCAATAGTAATCAGTAAATACATTTGTGAGAGTCCATTATACTGATATATATTCTAATTTACAGAATAAAACCTGTAGAAATAATCCAACATTATGGTATCTACGGATTCATTATCAAACGGTAAGTCATTTCTGATGCATATTTTTCCGCTTGACTGCTTGTATACATACCACAAGCTGCGGCTACAAAAGAATTCTGTTTTGAATAGCTACCATCGTTTCCACTTATCTGGATTCATATATGAGTACTTTTCAGTATGATCGTTTGTCGCAGCTCGATTATCATTATTCCTTTGGATTTCAAGTCGAACAGCTGATCTACAGTTCACCCTGTTCTTTGTAGTCATCTTCATCTAACTTTAGTATTTCGCATAATCTCGGATCTCCTCCACTTCACACCATCTCCTGCGTATCACCCTTGAACTACTTCCCAACTTGCTTCTTCCCATCGATATTCTACTTGAATGGTCTCAAGGCTCACAACGACACTAAAGAGTCCTTTGTGTGTTTGTCTGATTTACCTCCATTTTCTTCGGTAAGACGTTCTCGTTGCCTTGACGCAAGAATTGTTTGCTGCTTATCCGTTCTGGCTGGCCATTTATTCCATATTATGGAACAAAATGGGTAACTGTTGATGATTCTTCAGTTGCCCGTTAAAAAACGTCTTGTGAAACGTCACATCAAGTCTCTGGGCTATGTACGAGCATAAATTTTAAATTAGTGTTGAAAACTGTAAGAAATTTTCTTTTAATGGTGGTGACAACGTGAGGATGTAAACCATTCAATTGACTCGACTAAATTGGAACTTTCACTAAATCGTGTGTCTTGAATTAAGACGAAACAGCTGTCGATTATCTTTTGTTTTACTGGTTCTCTAACGCATTATCAATTTTCGGTTAAACTAGAAATCAATCGAATCCTCATTAATGAACTATTGACTATTGCAGATATCGGGTAAGTAAAAATATAACCGAATTTAGCCCACGGATAAACTTACGCATATTAGGAATAATCCAAAGAAAATTGCTGAAACAATGTTGAAGATCGGTGTCTAAAATAAACAGAGAAAGATAGCAAGTTTAGACGGTGATTATACTCATGTTTTGTCTAAGTGATCACACTCAATTTATTACTGATATTGACGTATCATAATTACAGGTTAGCGAACCGTGGAGAAACTAAAGGGCACTGAAAAGAAATTTTGTCGCAGTTTAAGAATCTCCAACAGTACGCAATTGATTGGGTTCAAAATTAGCAACTTCAGAGTTATCGTAAAGTCTCAAACGTCCTTTAATATAGTGGAAGAGATTTACAGTCATGCTGGTACTAGTAATTTTAATTTTGAACCACAGTCATCACTAATAAATGCTGGATACAATGGACCAAAATGTCTCCATTTTCAATAGTTTAAAGCGTGTGAATGCTGTTAACATTCATTTATTGAATAACTAACTCAATAAATCACGTATAACTCACTCATGAACATGCAGTGGTGAGCCAGTTGTTTATATTGAAGCCACATATCTTATAGTTGCTAGCAAATCCACTAAATGTCAGTAGGTTGACTATAACTATCTCAAGAGCCTGAGTATTTGCCAATCGCAACACAAGGCACTGAATTCTCGTTGAAATAAGCAGCTGATTTTTATTCCTGCATCACATTTAATGCAGTCCGGATTCAACATCTGCCAATTCTCTATCGCACTAAGGCTGAATGCACAGTTTTCAATGAGGGGTTTATATCTCCACATATTACAAAGCACAATAAGATGAATGACAGGTTCCATTTGGTCGTTGGTGTTGGAAAATATTTATTGGAATCCGGAATACCTTAGCTTTCAAACGATTGTTTCTAGCCTTTCAATACCGAATTCTATTCAATAGAAAAACGAGGAAATCCACTGGTCAAACAGACTTTTGTAAATCAGGTGCACTTACAGATAAACTTACATCTAGTGGCATGGTGGCATTAAATATTATTAAGATGGTTGATAAAATCAAAAGGGTAGATGATATTGTAGTAAAGACAACCAGCTGATTATCATCCATTGATGGAAATTTCAGTGCCAACCCCACAGTCGTGCTTGTAATAACAATTATCAAAATTAGTGATATCAATCCGTAGAACATGTCAACAGATCCAAAGCCGGCAGCCAAGCTCACAGACCACAGTATAACCTACAACGAGTTAAATTGACGAAAAAATAACTGTTTAACAACTGGAAGCTTCGTGAAGAATAAAATGCCTCGAAATAGTTCAATCTTGTGATTTTTTGGTGTCTCATAAACGGCCGATAAGCTCGATCCTAAATGAGCGGAACAGCTGCCTCTTGTTTAGGTTACTTATACGCTACTAGCGAGTGAGCATTACGGGTTGTTGTAAGTGATGTGTGTTTTGAACAAAAGACGAGATCAAGCTGAATTCTCAAACAGGCATAAATAATTCGTATTTTAGTTAATTATCGTATTCCCGTCGATTAAGTGGGAATACAATCACTCAATATGGAGTGCAGGTGAATCAAGTTGGCCAGTCCTAAATACGATTAAATGAGCAAACTCTGAGTTCCCAGTATTATTCACTATTTATCAAATCACTTCAAATTAACCCTCAGTTATCTTTGAACCGTACGTACTAGGTGTCGACATGTTGACAGACACCGGACATTTCCGTGCCATGAATCAACAGAAAAACTACGATTGTCCTAAAATCGGATAATAACTGTAGTCCATTTTTCAAAGATGTAAACCTCTTGGACTTGGAGGTATAGTGGTCAGTGCTTTGACGTTTAAAATCATGGGTAATCGACACTAGCCATTTAGGAACACCATCACTCACTGGAGAATGCAAGTATATCCAGATAACCAGTTTCAAATAGGTTCAAATGTACTTGCTGTAAGGTCGACTGTCGAACACTGTATACGGATAAATTTCCACAACACGGTATAGCTAAGTATTTCCTTTTTTCGTAAAAATAAGCGCAAAGTCGACTTAACTACACAGTTACACAATTAAATTGAAACTTACTGTACTTCCGAGCAGCAAATGAACACAGAAGACGTTTGACAAGAAGTTTGTCATAATTATTATTGGAAGTGGTAGAATAACACCGACAAATCTGAAATGAATTTGCAGACACCAGTAAATTAGACTAACCAACATACAAATAATTGACAATGCTTTTGGTATTTTGAGTTTATATTTATTACCTACGCATCCGACCACACTCATTCACCATTTTCCATTCGCTTTTGTGCTCATAACACTAGAATCTTGGCAATTTATGGTTCAACCGAACAACTCAGATATGTTCCCAAATCTTTCTCGCTAACTAACTCTAAATGTGTATACAAATTTAAAATGTATCGATGGTGGTAAAACATTCATATGGCAGAAAAAATGGCACCTGTAATTTTCTGAACGTGCACCAAAACTCTTGAGTTTCAAAGGTGCAGACGCTGACGATAGTAAAACTGTCAACGGAAAAAAATAGTTCAGTCCTCTTGACTTTAACTGAAACAGTCACGATCAAATGCCTAATAAGTGATCAAGGTTTCCACAAAGAAGCAGTTGTCAGTCTTTTCTAGCTCTGGTAACTTGATCTCTTTTATTCTATATTTCATTTGATGGCAAATCATTCGGCTCCAGCTATTCTGCGTTTTGATAAAGTGTAACTTTGTTTGACTCTTCTTTCTGTTTTATGAGTTCAACTCACGACGATTTATTAGTTTTCTTTCTCATCCCTTATATTTAGTGTGTAACTCTTTTATCACTGTAAACAAAGACTTATTTTTCATTATAATAAAAGTCTTTGTAGTTCACAATGAATGGAAAAAAGAACAATATAGTTTTTACTGACGTTTCGCTTCTTAATGTTAATAGATTTTGTTTCAAATTGAACTCTCCAGGTATAAACTATAAAGGTGTAATTTTGTGCCCACTGTTTATTGAGTTTATGTCCTCTTGTTTACTGACATCATGTATTATTTGAAAGTACATTAAAAAATATTCTGTACACAAAGTTAATAGTTTCTGTAAGCGACGGATGAGAATTCAAAGAAATAAACAAAGATGGTACCGTCATATCCTGCAGAAAATAGTGTTGGTGCTTTATTTGAATACGTCGGTCATCATAAGACATGTGCGAATAACGGAATCTTTTGTATTTGTGTTTTGTTGCCAGTTCTTATTAGTCAGGTTGTGTACTGAATAAGACAGCGATTCGGCATATTACGTTTAACGAGGCCTGGTATAATGTAGCATACCAGTAGTGATACCGTAACGACTGCAAAGTCGCAAGAATGAAGAAGTCGAGAAGTTTGTCAAAGGCCATTAGTGCTTTTTAAATGGTCGCATACATAATATCTCTCGAATTCACAGTAGTAATCTCTACATATTGAAAACCGATTAGAAAGAAAAGTTAACGCATTTAGTAGATTACTGAACATAAAAATGGTCTTCTGATTAAAATGGTACATGGAACTTAAACCACTCATCGCAATTTTGGTGAAAGTAGCCTAAGGAAATTAGTTTTACACTCCGGCATACTTTACCAGCAGCAAAAGTCTATCTTATGCAGCAAACAATACAAGTGACACACTTGGCTATTGTCTGTGCAGATGGTCTATGGAATGTTAATGGGAGTCCTGTACAAAAAAGGTCATTAGATGAAGAATGCTTTCACTGAACACTAAGATTCTAAAAATGATAAAAATTAGGATGGTATTCACGACTATCAATTTTGTAATCTTAAGTCTCCTATAAACTATTTAGACTAAATAACCTACTTAGTTAGGCAATATCTAATAATAATTCAGTACTGATGTTGATCAAACCAGTTGCCAACAACCATAACTGTTGCAAATCCAGTCATCTTTTGCTGCCTACTGACTGATTGCATGACCAAGTTGTCTGAATTCCTAGTGAGACGTCGTGACTATTGAGGTCCCCTTGATAAACATTGAGAACAAATAGTTGCCCATGGCACTGTCTGGTGAATTTATGGATCAGTAGGGGTTAGAATTCTTGAGGTGGAAATTGAGTCGGTTCACAGTAGCTCAATAGCTTGCGAGTCTGCCTCGTACTCGCAAGTCCCTTGGTTTGAACCCTAGTAAATGTGTACCGATGACGATCCCCGAACCAGCATGAACCAACTATCTAATCCTCCTTGACTGGCAGTGATTCCCTAACTCATGTTGATCCGTGGTGAGACGTTTAGCAGATGCAATCCCTGAAAGCTAACCCTTGAAAAACAATCGTGTATTTCAAATAAGTAGCGGATCATCGATTATATTTCCTAAAGTTAACACTTGATATAAGGAACTGGGAAATACTGAGATCTAGGACAAGACGTTTTGAAATCGTATTCCTCTTATGCATAATAAGTTCAATCTATTTTCAGAGGCTTTCTTTTCCATGAAGTTCAAGAAACATAATAGTACTGTTTGAAATTTCTCTGAAATGTTTTAACTATTAACATTACAATTCTATGTATTATAAGTGAATTCTGTTTGGTGATTTGTATTGGGAGTTAATTAAATAATGAATAAATATATAATAATGAGCAGAGAACTTACGCAATAACAAACGTCACATAGAAATGATGCCTAAAGAAACTCGAAATTAGTTGCCTGCAAATCAACATAATATTAAGTATTTACAACAATAATTCAATCCTACGATTCGGTAAACAAGACGAGTACAGCCGTAGTCGTCAGTATCATAAACACGGCATCTAATAAAATCTGGAAATACGAAATAATCTCTTCAACAAATCATAGAAGATATGCTTACCCAGATATAATATTTGAAAGGGATATCTCGTTGTAGTAGCTTATTCTTAGACGTTTCAAACAGCGTTAAATATTCTTCAGAAATTGACATGATTTTATTCCCTGAAATTAGATCAGAAATCTCATATGATCCTAGTTGTGGATTTTCACAAATACAAAAGCTATAGTATTTTGAATATTATTATTTAATAATTTTACTAGACATTAGATTCACAATTCTTTATCAGTTTCAAGAGTAAGGTACTTATTTTTCTTATGGAGGGATATACCTCAATCAAGCAAGTGACGTGAATACAAACTTATATCCGCTTTGAATACACTCAAGTCATGACTGAGGTGTCAAACTACCGTCTATCGCTTGAATCGAACCTGAATAGGAACCAGTGAGTTGGACATGAATTCGAGGTTGACATCGAAGGCGATTTTGTGATGTGAAGGAGATAAGAGGAATGAAATGGAGAGCTGCTGATAGAAGTATCAAACGTGAGCACGGCAGTATAGTATGACTCCAATATGGATAATATTTCATTTTGATAAATCATACGGTGTTGTACAGTTATATTCACTAATGACAGTAAATATCACTGTACAAAACTGTGCGATTTATCAAAATAAAATTTTATCCATAATAGAGATATGCTGCTGAAGCCCTTTTTGCCACACGGAAGTAGAAGTTATAATAATGATAATTAAGTTTCTGCGGAAATGGGTGATTTACTCTCTATGAGAAACACCATCCAGTGAGGAGTTCAGAAAGGCTACTTTAAACCTGACTATTATTTTACCTGCTTAACGAGAATAATTGTCACGAATGTGTGTATCGAATTTTGTACGTTAAGTATATTCGCCATAATAATTGGAATTTTGTAATAAATTACACGATGGATATATTTGTAATTCGCACTTACTTGAAGTAACTTCTGTCTTCGAATGTGAGCCTTTGGAAATATTCACTTATTTTATCACGCTTATATTAACATGAAGTTTTGATAAAAATTATTAACGCAATTTTCATATATAGAGTGATCATAGTACGTTCATAGTGGTTTAATGCTATCACATTTCATATAAAATCACCTTTGTTACAATAGTTATTTTTGAATGCTGTACACACAAATACATAAAACCATTGATATCAAAGCAAAGAGTCGGCACACATTACAGAGTTATTGTGTGCATATTTTTTATTAGCAAACTTTTTCAAACGCGAAAACAACAAAATATTGAGCGTGTAAAGGTAATAAGTCACAGGACGATGATTATTTCAATTCCACAA